TATCAAAGAATCGCCAGACTGCGACTGTGGTGAAGCCCAAACCTCAAACGCAAGCCGACGGGTGCGCCATCCACACCCTTTCGGTGTCGCCGCAATCCACACAGCGTCTACTGCCACCTTGGGTTGGTTGAGGGATCCTAACATTGAACAATGACATCATTTATACAAACGGGTTGCTATACGAAAGAAGAAGATTTTGCAGGACAACAGCAGTTTCCTTTAATCTGTACATTTGTTTTCGAAGGGTGGCCCTGGTGGCATGAGGTTGAAATTCCAGACTGTGACCAGGAGAGGGCGATGCTTTGCCAGGCAGTCGCGTGAGTGTTGGGTGTGACTCGCTGGCATTTGCTGGACATGTCATCACCCCTCAGCTATGCTTTCCCACAGGATTATCACACTGGGAGGAATTTTTTTTGGCACAGAATGTTTTGCAGTGACACAACATAGATGAATAGCCGTGCCGGAATTGGCTAGTCATCAGCACAAGTAAAACAGGAGGTTATTCGAATGCGTGATTTTGTCAAGAAGAATGGACAGCGATTGGCAGTAGTTGAGTGTTATGCCTGATATACAGTACGGTCACATTTCTGGCTCCACAGTCATTGTTTTGTTAACCATGCCGCGGTTTGTGCAGCAGTAGTGCTAAAAGTACCTTTAAAATGAGTGTCCATTTTTGAGAATTTATAGTTTTTATTTCATAGTCCTGTTTTAATTCACTGCTGGATGAAATCCTCACAATGCTGTTGGCCCTCGTGGTTGTTCACCATCCTGGTTAGTGTGCATTGGCGACATGGGGGGAAGGAGGAACCCAGGACTGCTTCAGATGTCACTTGCCGCTGATGTTAGCCATGGCCTGGAATTGAACCTAGGTAATTCGATTGATAGCGCAGTTAACTATCCACTGCACCATCCCTTCCTGCCCTCAAGCCCCCCACCAAGTAGTTAGTCGATTTAACGTTCCTCGTTAAAGGACAACATTTCACTTTGCTTTATATAATTAACATTAACAGCTTAAAGGCTGTGTAATGGTAGTGTTAATATTACATTTGGTGCCACGCTGATCCAAAGCTCAATCTGTGGACGTCTTGCTCACACGTCTGGAAACCCTGGGACTGTCATGAATCTGCTCCATTACACAATTGCACGTGTGCATTGCCTGCAACAAATCGTGTGCTTCCGGGGAGGGGGGGGAGGCTGATTTATGAGTGTCTGACGCTCTTCTTCACATAGTTTCCTCCGAGGCTTTGTTATGGAGCAAGGGGCGGAGAGGTGAGGAGGCTTCACAGCCAGGCCCTAATTACTCCTGCCTGTTAATCGCATTCTCCGGCTTCCTGTTTGCATGATGAAGCCACCCCTCCTCCTTCCTTGCCCCCCAGTTGAGCTCGCAGTCACTTCAAAGACTTTGTATGCAGACCTGCGTTTCCTCCATTGTTTTACTTTTTTCCCTCTCTCTCTCTCTCTTCTGAAGCGGAACTGATGAAAAAACGTCACGAGCTGGGAAGATTCAGTGGTCGTTTTAAACTCGGGGCACACGTGATGAACAACAATGCCCGTAGCTGGCATGGCTGCTTACTTTGCCTGTCACATGTATTTAAAATTTCCCTTCAGCCCCTCCCCCCCCAGTAAGTGATAAGTCTAGTTACATAAATACTTCTTCCTGCTTGTGCAATGGATGAGGTAATATTACTATTGGTCATGCAAAATGCTTTGGCGAGAATGTTGATTCTTCAAGTGTCACTTTGGAAGTTGATTGTGGGCCAAGGCAGCTCGCGTAAGAGGCTGGCACCAAAGTGCTCACACTTCAGAGAAGGGGGTGGGGGGGTAACGTTTGGAGCTTTGGATTTCAAGCCGTTTCACACTCCTCCATGCAATTTCTGCAACATTCCAAAGCCGTCCTGGGCATTGCACTAACGCGAGTCGGTCTTACACTTTGCTCTGAATTCGATTGCGGTAATTGTGCATACTCGGCCATGGCTTGTCTCCCGCCAGCACGCCCCACGCACCACCCATTAATCCTTGCTCGGCTGAAGTTCTGAAGCAATCTGCCTGGGCGATTGGGGAGGGCGACACGGGTGTTTGAATATATATTTTTTGCCCTCCAAATGATGAACACGTGAGACGGTCGAAATATAGACTGTGAAAATTCTACAAAAAGTAACACCTTGCTTTGTAAGATGTAATGTTGACTGGCTAATGCACTTAATATAATGGTTGCTCTGTGATAGGTATCACTGTATATCAATATATGCATCAAATCGTTCGTCTAAGAATCGATGTTTCTGTACTGTACACGTATTTGTATATGTTGTATGGGGTGGCGCAGCAGGGCAATGGTTAGTGTAGAGCACAGCTAACATCAGTGGCGAGTGGTGTCTGAACTGGTCCTGGGCGCCCCTTCCTGAACCCGCATTGATTGGAGTGAAATATGGTTGAGCAAAAAACAGGACTGACATGGCTTGGAGAGAGGCCTTAATCCAGCAGTGTATTGACAAATGTATGTAAATGGTTTTAATTAGTATTATGTATACACTATGTAATGGGTGTACATGAAACCTGCAGCAATTTGTAATACAACTTTTATTATGTAAAAAAAAAATTCAATGCAATAATAATCTTGAATGGCGACAGTGGATTGTTACGTTTCTACTTTATGGTCCATTCTAATTTCATTAAACGTTCATGCCCTTTATCCACTGCTGGATGACGTCCCCTCCCCACTGCTGTGTGGGTCATTGAGAGCTGTTTGACCATACTGCACCATGCCAGTCGGTGTGCGTTAGTGAAAGGGGTGGTGCAGCACCCAGAACTGGTTCGGATATCTCTCTCGATTTATCTTAGCTGTGGCTGGAATTCAAACTCGAGTCACGCGGTGTTTAAAGCGCAGGTGTGTTAACCACTGCGCACCCACTCCCCCCCGTGTTATATCATACCTGTAAAGTAATATTGACGTCTTCATTGCATCGGCCATAATTAACATATAATCTGTCGAATTCAAACTATTTTTTCCTATTTACAAGTGCTTAAGACGCGCAATCAATATGTTTGATGGCGATTGAGACCTGATTGATCAGAAGTGTGTTTGGTTGCTGCATGGGAATTAATTTCACGTACTTTTCAGTGGCAAAACGTGCTTTTACAGTGTTTTAATTAAGGGCAGGATGATTATCTTCCCTGGCACCATGCAAAGCAGGCAGGCGACATCTGGACCACGTGGCAGGGAAACATACGTCAGGAGCGGGGGGATGCTATGTCAATGTGTCCGGGTAATCCCAGTGGAGCTTAAAAATTTGCATTTTGGATTAAACATTTGCACCATTTTGCTAAACTGTTGTAGAAGCGGATGATATGTAACATTGTTTTTAAAAGTGGATTGTGCTGATATGCAAGAAATGAGAGGTGAAAGTGCAGTGCCTGTACTTTGTGGGGGTTAAACGGTGTGTTTTTGGCTGAATAACGATGCAGAAGTCATATTTCTGCACGAGTAAATGAACCTCGTTTTGCCTTGTTTTGCTGTTTTTGTATGTTTTGGACCCTCTCAGTAATGAGGTGTTGTTTGCAAGTGCACAGCAAGTATCCTTGAGGCTGCACTGCTTGTAGAACGTACGACAATTTTCTTTGCACGTTATTTGTGCTTGCGGCTGTAAAGTGTGGTATACGATTGCAGTAAAGATGAGTAAATGTTTTGGAGACGGGGGACTAACATTGAACTGCCCCCTCATTTTTGTCGCTGTCCCCTTGCCTCATTTAGTTGTTTTTCGATGTTGCTGTCCGAGATGCTTGTGTGTCTGGCCCTGGGGCCTGCCTTGGTTTTTTTGTTTGCACTTAAAAAAAAGAGATTACACCCGTTTAAATGTTTAACAAAGCCAAGGCTTTTTGATCAATAACAATGGAAATAAATTACTTTGGAGAACACCCCTCCCCTGCATTCCTTTAATACCATTTGTTACATGTTTTTGTTGTAGGGACACTCACTGAATGAAACCTGTTGGTGAATTGTGGATTTTTTTAGATTCAAGAACGAGAGTAAGGAGACAGCTAAAGTTGCAAAAAATTTAAAGTTTCTGATAGCTTTTATCTGTCAACCGTATGTGCATATTGACCATATGGCCCTGCTGGTGTTTTCACTGAGAGTCCAGGAGGTTGTTGATGTAATAGCAAGACTCGAGCTGTGAGGTGCTCTCACTCCCCAATGACTCAGAGTTACCACGGTCTGGCAATGCTGTCACTTGAATGTCATCACCCGTATGCAAAATATCATGATTTTCATGGCTCATGCGTTCTTGTCGTTGTTTTCCTTCCCAACAAAATATGGGAATTAACAACGGTGCATTTTAAATGCATTTTTCAACAGCTATTGCATATTAAAGGAGTGCTTTGCAAAATGTTTTCTGGAGTTAATTGACGACATGACGATATGGACGTAATTTTTGTAGTTCATTGATTTATTTTTGTGGAGTGTAACTGACCACATGTGCCTCATAATTGTTCTAAGTTGTAAAGTTGCAATTATTAAATAGCGATAGCAGGTTTGTGATTGACCTGCAGTTGTATAACTTTTTAAGCTATTTCCACTGATTATGCAGCGAAGCACAAAACGATACAATTAAATTCTGAAATGCAACTTAAAAGAATGGGATAATCCTCCTTGTGAGAATTAACATTGTATCTTATGATAAAATACTTTTTGCATGACAACCGTACCATATGTATGTATGTTTGAACTTTTTTGAAATGCAACTTAAAAGAATGGGATAATCCTCCTTGTGATAATTAAAATTGTATCCTATCATGAAAGACTATGTGCGCGATAACCGTGCCAGATGTATACTGAACTTATTTCCCACCGTACATAGCTAGTCGTGCTAAACGGTGGTGCGCGTCTCGAATGCAAGTCTCGCTCCTCTCCAGCGTGTACACGTTCGCCAATGGCGGTCCGACTCTTTTTCCGCCGTCTCTGATCCCCGCCACCCCATTGCATGTCGCGTCCGCTGTGCGTGCAGTCTCCTGTCTGGGCGTGTACAAGAAAAGCGGCCCTCCGGTGCCGCCTCGGCTGGGCCCCAAGCCCTTTGTGTCCGTCGGGACTCAGAGCAGCACGGAGTCGACGTCTGCGGCGGTGACCGCGGTGACGGCGGCGGCGGCGGCGCAGGACGTGTATCTGGAGCACATGCCTCAGCAGGGGGAGGTGCCGGTGCGAGACGGACTCCTCCGTGAGCCCTGGGGAGGAGGGGGTGGCTCCGAGGTGGCACAGCCGCCACAGCACAAGCCCTGGTCTCGCGTGAGTGTCGCAAATGCATTTTCGCACGCGAACAGCTGCGGGTGGTTGTTTGTTTAAAACTAAAAACAACTATTTTGTACTTTACCAGGCAAGGGCCACTGAGATATCTAGCTCTTTTTCGTGTGGCTTTTTCTCCGGGTTCTCCAATTTTCCCTTCATTTTTGAATCATGTGTTCAGAGTATATTTGGCCACTATACATTTCTGCATGATAGGCCACTTGATTGAGCTGTCATTTGTGGCCAGGTCGCTTCTGAAAAAGAGCTATGTAGCTCAGTGGGCTTTCCTCTCCTGGTACCATAAAAAATAGTTTAGTTTTAGTTTATTGTTCCTGTGAAATTAACTCATTGATTCCTGCACCCATTTTGAGGACTGTCTGCCAGACTGACTTTTTGTCTCTCTGTTGTGTTCTCAACTACCACCATGCTGAAGGTCACAAAACACATTTCTGCTTCTTCCCTGCTCGATGTTTGGAGTTCCCTCTCATTGTCTCTTTTCGCAAACTCTTATAACCTTGGAAAATTCAAGAAACATGTTAACCCTTTATCTATATTACAGCTTCGACAAGTGCTGTTCGTTGCTTGCCGCTTTACTCTATGGGCCTGTGCCCCGCTGCTGTGATTCTTCCCATGCAGCAATCGGAATACACGCAAAAACTCACTCGTACATAAACATTCACACGATACACAGAGAATGCCCATCCATACACACTTTATACCAATACCCGCCATTCGCCACTAAGTGATGGTGATGTCACCAGGCCAGGTGCACCGAGGCCACACGTATACCCATACTTACACACACACACCTACCAGGCAACCAAGCTATACAAAGATCCCCCATATAGCCTTTACCAACTGTTGGGCCAAGTTATGTTAGCGAGCACCTATGAAGGCCGGCACTGCACACGAAGGCGGTGGGTGGCCAGCACCACGCCCAGCCACCTTTGTTTCCCTAGTGCTCGCGTTTTACACATCACACCAGGTACTCATTTGAGCCTGAGTCGGCCTATGGAAGGCCAAGGACTTGTTCAAATAATCATCACTGGTGTTGGTCATGAGTAGGAATCGAACTCGGGTCGCCGGGTTATCAGCGCTGCACTACTGTTCCCAATACTATACATATATACTGACACCCATACAGACACATACCGATACGTAATACTGTACCGACACAATTATACATAATATATTATACGTAGTCTCTGAGTTCGCCCCCTGATGTAGACTGTTGCTGTGACATATGGAGTGACTTCATAGCCTAGCTGTAACGTTACATCGTGCCGATTGTGGGCTCGGTTGGTGCAGTCTACATGTATTACCGTACTGGTACAAACTTTTGCTGTACATTGTAGTGTTTTGTAAAAAAAATCCTATGGAATTTCGAAATTACAATGTTAATTTTAAATGCACATTAATTTAGGCTACACTATTTAGAAATTTTCATATCTATTTAATTGGCTTTGTGGTTTCACAAAATGCATTATTCAGAACAGTGTTTACTTTGTGGGGTGTTATAGCAATTCACTGTATTTTGACTTTTCAGAATGATATAACATTTTTTTCTTACGTGAATATCGGATTGGTTTTTATGACCAAAGTCACCATTGGAAAAAGGAGACATTTAATCTCAACCTGGTTTTTGTCATTTACTCCAATTTCATCTGTTATGCTATTGGCATCATGTCATGAAACAAAGAATCGTTTTAGAGTAGCCCATGGGAAGAAAATACACAGCTACCTCGAGAATTATTTAAGTGGCCTCTGGTGCACATGATAGAGTGCATCACTTTCTCACCTGCTACTCCACGTGAGAGTAATGTTTTTCACATGACGGCAAGACCAATGTTTTTTAATTGAGAGGCTGATGGGCGGTGGGATTGTCAGTTATCATCCGGTCGGTCTCATTCCTAATTTCACCATTTAGGCTTTACCACATCCCTTACTCATTATTATTTTCATGGTGAAACCATGAAATCGGCTCGTGTGCGCAGGTGCTATGCGGATTAGTAAGTACATTGTAGGATTGTGAGAGTTGGTGACAGCAGTTGAATCGGAATATTAATATACACTTGAGGAATCTGATGAGCTATAAAGCTCTTTTTCACAGATGTGCAGTATTGATCGGGTCCAATGATGATGATGATGATGATGGCGGTGACGATACCGGTGGTTGCGTTGTTCGTGTGCACACAGACAAACTGTGTGACTATGAGCGCCTCCCTGGAGAGCGTGCGTGCTTCCCGTGACGGGCCCGCGGCAGGCCGCAGCTCGCCCGCGCGCCGCTCCATGGACCGCCAGGCGTCGGGCTCGACAGACGGGCCCGAGAGCCTCGTCTCGGACGAGTCGGGAAAGTCTCTGGCGTCGCCGGGCGGCAAGAAGCGGCCCTCCGTGGCCGTGCAGGTGGACATTCCCGAGGCGGCAGCCGCGGCAGCCGCGGTCGCGGCGGTGCTGTCGGATGCCGAGAGCGGGGAGAGCGGCGAGCGCTACCATTCGATAGGCGTGCAGGTGGAGGACGAGCGCAGGTGAGAGGTGGGGAAGGGAGTTGGGCGGATGGGGTGGGGGGGCCTCCTCATGCCGCCGCCGCCACCAACATGCTCAGGTGTTTGACTTCTTTCAGAGCTGCTGTGAACCAGTGTTCATTCCTGGCGGAAATATGTTTAAAGGCTTAGTGGGTTTCCTGGAGTTGACTGTTCGGATTTAATTGTATTGATCTATTAATAAACAACCAGCTTTGTGGGTGTTTTTTTTACAATAAATTTTTTTTTAGTTTTGTGTTAAAGCTTGCATTCTTCTAACTTTTACACTGCAATGTTGTGAAATCCGAATGTAGTGTTTTCCAATATTTTTCAGTTACATGACTAAATCCTCATTGTGAGCAGGAGTCTTTATCTTGCGAACATTTAATCACTTAAGCACATTTTCTGGTGGCCTCTGCTAAGGAGCATTTGCTTAGTTTAACCACACTAAGATCATCTATTATCAGGGGGTGGGGGGGTTACTGGATTTTCAAAAATGCTGGATAATCACATTATTATTTAAAATAGCTTATTTTTGCACATTCTTGTATGACATGTTGTAGGTGTTCTTATGGTGTTTTAAATTTGTTTATTACCTGAAATTGGCATAAACAAAACAAAATATCCTACTTTAAAGAGTTACTATTTACTGTACCATACTTATTACTCCAACCTCGAAGAGTCTGCATAGGGTAATGCATTTTTACATGCGGTATTGTCATTGTTTAAGTTGTATGTAGTGTATTATGTACTGTATATAATATTTAACTCTGATATCGAGCATAGCTATTTTGTGTGTCGCGCACATGGTGCCGATTTGCTTAACTGGTGTTACAGCCTTTGGAGCGGTTTTGCTGGATCGCCCCCGTAACTGCCGGATAATCATGGAAGCTGGATAATTGCGTGCGCCGGATAATTTATGATCAACTTTATTTTTAGTTGTTCCCCAATGCTTTAATGTTATTGTTCACACGTGTAACTTTTTAAAATGTATACTGTAAGACTCGCTTCATCCGCTGAACACGCACTTCAAGTGCTCTTATAGATGCCCACATGCTGGTTGGTATTTAGAAAATGCATGTCTTTAAATTGTGTAAATGTCAATAGCAACATTTGCTGCAAAACGAGCAGTTGCCAGTCTGAGCAAGTAACGATTGGAACTATTCTATCGGTAGATCATTGAAAGGTATCAAGTTATTGTAAGGTATCGTGTATGATTCTCCTTACTGTCTTGGCATAAGGTCATATTTTAAGCTTATGCACTTAAAACGTACTCTGAGAAACTGGCATGAAACACTGATACCTCCCGTAAGTTTCCAAAGGCAAACTGCCAAGCTGTAAATGTTTTTACACCTCCGCATTCAACGTGCAGGATAAGGTTAATCAAACGCGAAGTCGTCGACGCTTGTGGACCAGCAGGACAGGTTAATCCTTCCGACAAATTTGTTCTACCCCACACAAAGGGCCCATAGCGCATACAGTAGTGTGCACTCTGCGCAATTCACTTTGCGCCCTGTGTCTGTGGTACGCCAGTTATTCCACGGGGGGTGCAGCAGTTGTGAGATGTTAACTGCCTCACCTGGTATACAGGAGAAGCCGTGGGTTCGATCCAGACCCTGACGCCTGTATTTTTCGAGTTTGCGTGTTCTCCCCATGGTCGTGTGAATTTTTCTTCGAGTTCTACAGTTTTTTCCCTCCATGTTTTTATAAAAGTGCGTTTGGCGTATTTGGCTGCAATAAATTTTGACGTGATAAGCCACCACTCCATTGGGCTATCATTTGTGGCCAGGTTGTTTCTGATAAAGAGCTGTATAGCTCAGTGGGCGTTACCTGGTAAACATTTTTAAAATATCATAATTAAAAAATAAATAACATTTAAACCTTATGGGTGGCCCTCCAACGTGTGCTTTTGCAGGTATGCACCCTGTCTCGATATGCAAGACGCGTATCTGATGATAATAATGAATGATGTGTGGTATTGGCAGAAGAGTCGTTGTTTTAACCTTGTAATTGAAACACTTCGTGTATGGTTATGATGTGGGTTACGTTTATGATATTATAACTGCAATTTGCTTGAAAATCAAATTAAAATTATAAATGTCGCATAAGTATTTTTTTGGAAAGTCGATATGTAGACTATTTTCTTAATCTGCCATGAGAGTACAGTGGTTTTGCAGATGCCTATAAAAGGCACAATGCCAATCTATATTATGATGCATTTTGGCCATTGGTAAATAAAGTTAATTGTAGAGGGTTTTTTTGCAGTTTCATATAGCACCCATGACCACCTTGTAATGAATCCCTTTCGCTCAGCACAGTGGTTTTTTTACAGAAGGAAAACTATAAAGGAAGCATGTGGACCAATAAACTTTTGTTTCCACAATAAATAGGTCTGCTATTTGCCTTGTACATCCCGTGAAATGTCTTTACTCAATGGAGACATTCATCCTGTGCCATGTCAGAGCCGGCCGCTACACAAGATCCAACAGCGTGACCACCGCCGTGCAAGCAGACCTGGAGGTGGAAGACCTGGCCCGCCTCTCGATCTTCACACCGGAGAAGGTGACCCGCTCCGCGTCGTCGTCCTCCAGGGCGAGCCACTCGCGGTCGGGAACGCCCGTCGCCGGCCACTCTGCCTTCCAGCACGTGGCGCAGCAGGCCTCGACGGAAAAGGGGAGCCAGACCCCTGCGAGCAGCGACAAGCCGTCGCACAGGGAGGGCGGCAAATCGGGCAGCCGCGCCGCTGCGTCGAGCGTCGACCGGAGCGGCGTACGCCGCAGCAGCTCCCAGCAGCAGCACGGCCGAGCCGTCCTGACGCAGGAAGACTGCGGAGGCCAGGCCGCAAGTCTCGACGGCGGCCCTCCTCCCAATGGAGGGCGCGTGTCGCCATGCGTGCGAGACGGCCGCTGGTTCATGCGGCTGCTGCAGAGCGAGACAGAGCGGCTGCAGGGCTGGTGCTCTCAGATGGAGGTGGAGACTCAGGGCAAGCAGCTGTCCGAGGAAGGTGAGGGGGCATCCTTTACGATTCATTTCTGTCTTCGTGATTTTTAACACTCAACTAAAGCTATTGCCAAAGTATGTTTATTTTAGCAGGTAAGGCCTACTGAAGCATTCTTCCCATTTATCAAAAAAAAAAATTGTCTCCCGTGCTAAAAGGAAAATTCTGTGATTTTTTTTTTCTTTAGATCTTGAGTGGCTTTTAATTGACCATAAGAACATAATTTGTAGTGGTAGGAATTGAACGTCCTTCAACGAAAATACCTAACATTCCAGTTTTGTAAATAGTTGGTTACAGTCAGAATTAGACTGCATATTTATGGTTGCATTAGGAATGTCATGCTGAGTTTATTGCTGTTCTATTTCAGGTACTTTTTATTTAATGATAATATGCATTTGTCAGTGTTGTGGTCATGATACAATAACTGTGCAGCATGCTGCCAATGACTATACACTAAACAAATTATATCAGGTTGTGCATAGACAGAATCTTTGTAAACAATTCCACTTGGTCACCTGTAATCATAACGTAAAGTTGCCTTGCTTATAACTGAGATACGAGAGATGACTGCACCTTGAAAAATCTTTCAGTTAAAGTAAGTAAATGAGTTAAAGCAAATAAAAAGGAAACATGGGTTTGTATAGAACTGTTTGAACTGGAGAAGGGTTTACCCTTGCGAGAGATTACTGGGATGTGTGTGTGTGTGCGCGTACGCCTCCTGCAGTTCTGGGGAAAATTCGCAGTGCTGTAGGCAGTGCGCAGCTTCTCATCGCCCAGAAGTTCAAGCAGTTCCATGGTCTCTGCCAGCAAAATTTGGTGAGTCTTATGCTCTGAGCTTGCACCATTTTCCCTCCTTGGAGACTGAAGCGTTACATACATATCACCTATTTCAGATGATCTGCTTAAAAACAAATACTTTTCCCGCCAGCCGTTTAATTGGCTTTCTGTCAGTACTGTAGATGGAATTGTCTAAATTCTTTGGGGTATTCGCACACCAACCCGAACAAAAGCCCCCCACATAGCTCCCTGGACCACACCCATATCCCACCACATTCGAGCTATGCCCCTGAGCTATTGAGAACCTAATTTGTAAAAAAAAAAAATACCAGGGCCTGAAGAAATACTCGAATATAAATGATCAAAACTGCTTACCAAAAGGAACCACTGCTACACTGCCACGAAATAAGTGGCGTGAGCCGATGGAAAACACGGCACAATGTTTGTACCGTGAACAATTATTCAAGTCGGGGTTTGGATTAAAATGATGACGCAAACAGGAGGTGAACAGGAAGAGTGTGGGATGCTTTTGTTATACAATTTTTTTTTTTAAATGAATAGCAACATAGCGAAGTGCGTGATTAAATAGCACCGCAAAAAAGATGCCTTTGCAGTGGGAAATACTGACCATAGGTGAGAAAAGATGCTGAAAGTTGCTCTCCACGTTTCGGACAGGGGCCAAACAATGGGCTTATCTGTCATTCCGTCAGGAGCTGAGGGCAACTTATACTAATTTTTCTCACCTCCGGCTAGCGTTTCTTACGACCGAGGCATCTTGCCTTTGCAGTTTTCTCTGCCGCATCTTTAAAAAAAATTCAAATACCAATGTGCCTCAAAGTACATTTTTAATCGGTGCATAGTACTGCTGGCTGTGGCATATGCATCAAAAGCAGAGCCAATGACAAATACATTAAGTAAAGGGTGTAAATAAGCATGGTGAGATGGAAGCTTGGAATTCCACTCGGGCTCAGAAAGAGAAACGCATGGATCAGGGAGCAAACACAATTCAGACATCATTTTGACTGTTAAAAAAAGAAAGTGGCTCGGAACAGAATACACCATTAGAAGGAATAAGGGACAACGCATTGGACGAGACTGGTGATGAAATGACACCCATGGGAGACGACATGCCCAGGAGGATGGACACCCAAAATATGGAATGATGAGGAGGGAGATGCATTGTTGCATTGCAGGACTGTTAGATGCTGATGGCATCGGGAATACTTCATCCAGCAGTGGATAAAGAATGTATGCCCGTGATGATTCTCTGTAAGCCTTGTATACTTGAGCAGCATTTGTGTTAATGGATGTAATTGAAACAAATATTTGAAGGTTAGCTCTTGTTTTATAAAAGCTGTTTTGTGTTCGGGCACCCATTGACAAACTGTCTCTTTTCTCCTCGCTTGGCACAATACCAATAAATAGTTTAAACTTACCTTAATTACTCACGACATGTTCATTTGAATCTCAAATACAGTACCTACACTCGTTTTGTGTTTGTTATTATATTTTGTTTATTTTTAAGTGGACCAGAAACTGTCAAAATATTGCACCACATACTACAAGTGTGACCCGAGCGGTGAGTAATTTTCTGTAGTTATTTTAACTCTTAACACTTAATGCTAGTGACGTACATGCCTTTTTGTGTATATTTGTTCCTTTATCTTCACGCAGCAATCTCCATTCGATATTTTTCTTAAGACTATACATTTCTAATACATTAAATAATAACTATCCGTTATATATATATATATCCATAGACTAAATATATATATTTATGTCTGCCTATTGGCCTCCAGGACTTGCGTTGATAGCCAACATTTGTTTAAATGCACAAACTCAGTTTTTTCTAAATAAGCCCAAATAAGTTTGTATTCTTTTAAACCCATGTGTAATTGTGTGTCTATTGTAAACAGCACACGCGCCGATTGGTATCGCCCATAAGATGACCGGTAACTTTTACTTGCTGCTTTTCAAAAGCAGGTTGTGACAAAAGTTCAGTTTAATCCAGCCACTTCCTTTTCATTACAGTGCCCTCCCATGTGCCTTTAGGTTTTTTTGTTTTCATGCGACCACATGTGAAGCGGTGAATGACTTGTCTTCCAAAAGTGGTCAAACCAGTTTGGCCAACAGTTGTCACGATCACATGTTTGAACGGTTTCTCAAGCTGGCCGTCAGGACCCAGTCAGTATGTCAAACACCTCTTCCGCAGCTCGGAGGCATAGGTTTGACGAAATTCAGTGACATCTGAACTCTTGTTTGTCACACATCTTTCTAGTTTGGCTGACGTACTTAAATACATAACTGTTGAGCTACCCCCACTGAACTATGGCCTAGTCGTTTGTGTAGTTGACCTACCATCTGGTGTAGTGGAAATGCTATGAAGGTGCCTTTTGCAGAAGGCTGATTACTTTTTACGTGGTAATTTACAAATAAAGATATCTTTTATTGTTAGTTTGAAAGATAGAGTAATATTATACACTTTCATTACACTGGTTAGGCATCATTCCTTTTCTTAAGAATGCATTAAGTATGCATTTTAATACAGGGTGCACAGAATACAATGTAGACAGCCATAGGAAGACCAATGTGAAATATACAGAGATAGGGCTAGACTGTTTAAGTCATGATTGTATTTTTGGGTTTGTATAGCATATGAGTGTAATGTAAAATTGTACCCTATAACCCTACTCCACCTTATGAAGCCAAATATTATACTTGGACAACGTTACTAAAAAACGATTACGAATCGGCATTTCTAGAATGCCTCGCTAATGTTTTTGGTTGGAGTGCCATTTGCACCTCTGACTTTTAGTGGAAATAAAGTTGGCCTCCATATGAACTGTAACTTACCCGTTATGTTCTTACTGTTAGTTTAATCGGATTAGTTAAATGTTTCATTAACCCGATTTAACAAATGCACTTGCGTGCTCGCAGTGCTAAGAATGAATAGCCTCAATTACTTGGGAATGCAAAACATTAGAATAGCATTAGTGGCAATAAATGTTTTGCTTTATAAAAGGAGGGATGGGTGACAGGTGCCCAGTGTAATGGCACCGTGTGTGCATATCTCCTATGCTGTGCCGCATGCACGCTGAGACCTTGTCTTATCTTGTTATGCATCTATCAAAATGACCACATTGTGTGGGTCCAAAGCGCTGCCACAGGGGACTTTACAAATAGGCACGGTGAAAGAAACGATCGGGCTCTTTGTAATTGTAAAAACTTACTGTCCTTGTTTTTGTTGCTTTGTTTCGTTCCTGTTTCAACCACCACCCTGTGTTTAATATAACAATTAGAGATTTGATATTTGGAGTTAGCGCAGTGTAACGGTGAAAAGGCAGAGGATTCTTTAGTTCCCACACAGTTGCCATGAGTCGCTGTGTACTTTAAAGTATTGCGTACATACGCTGGGGTATTGTTGACTTTACTTGTTATCGAAACATGGCCAATTTTTCAATGGCGATTCCGCGAGGCTGGCCAAACATCGAGCGGCCTCAACTTTCTTCCCTGAAACACCGCACCGAGCTCAACCACAGCCGCCATATTGTGCCAATCACACCATCCATCATCCGTCTTGGAATTGTATTCTGTTTCCATTCTAATAGTCAAATACAATTCCAGGTTGAAAACTGTGACGATCCACCCAGCGCGAATCTTAATAGAAACGACAAAACGTCATAAATGAGTAACCTATCCGAATTAAATACACATTGTTTTACATACTGTGAACTGTTTTATACTATTTTATTTTTTTTACTTTTAAGGCCACAGTGTTATTGACTAACGTTTCACGTTCTTGTGCACCACTACCGAACACAGTATCACCAAAAAAATGTTTCAAATGAAATCGAATTATATTTGCAGCTTACCTTTTTTAAAATGAAAATGGTATATATAGCATTGCCTAATTCCTTGACATTCTTATTTTACCCAAGGCTCAAGTCCACTGCACATTGCAAATAGATTTCCCACCACTGACGCCCAGAGAATGAGCCCCCTCCCCAGGAAGGGCCAACGTGCTAATTACTGAGTATCAGTTCTACACAATTGAACGCCCCAACCATGGCACCAATGTTAATGATGCTGTTGTGGGAATGTGAAGCTAAATTAATACAAAACAATGGGTGTGTGTGTGACACACACACACATTCCTCCCCGTCTCCCTACATCTGTAAGTAAAATGTCAAACTTCGCATTTTCATTACTTACATGGTGGGCAAAGTGATCCGTTTTATCTTTTTAAGGTCGGCCTCCTGCTAGGGCAGCAGTTTGCCCCCTGTTTGTCTTGCATGCAACCTCCTGCTGCTCCGCATAAGGAGTGTTTTAATTAGACCCTTGCTTTGGTGTTCAATTGGGGAGAAAAGCTATTCATATGAGGATAGTTTTGGACTTTCATCAGCAAATCAGTGCCCAATTGCAACTCAAAATAGGTGTTTGGCTTTATGAATAAATATTTTTACAAGTGCAAAAAAAAAAAGTATATTTATATAGACGTATGAATGTCTTTTTTTATTTGTCGTTTGACCGGATGAGAACTGAAGAGGCAGTCAAAATTTTGAAGTTACATGGGTTGCCAAAATGTAATGGCATGAAAACAATTCCATCATTGAAGCAAATAAAACCACGTGTTCATTATTGACTGAGAAGGCGTGTCATCTACAACTTGTAATCAATGTTAATGTTTCCAGAGTGAAACAGAAACAATGATTTGTATAGTTTTAAATGAAGCACTGATATACTTTAACACTAGATAAAGTTGATAGATTAGAAGTCGCACTTTGTAAACGTTTTAGTTTCGTTGGCTGTGTACATATTTTTTGTTTATATTGTACAGTTGCTAAGTTACCTTATGCATCCATGTTCATATGTTTTATTCACGCTTTTCATTTTGAATTGCTAAATTTGTGAGGCTGCCTTGTTTTTTCTATTTGTATTCAAGACATTTCGCGATAGCTCTTGCTTTGGAGTATTTGGACAACTTTTACTTTTGAGCATCTTGTGAATGTGCAAGGAAACTGCGGGAGTACCTGAGGAGACTGCTCAAGTCCGCAACCGTAGAACGTCCGCAAACCTTACTTGCTGTACTGTCGCATTGCATCACGACTTGGTGTTTCACACACCAACGTTAGCTGTTGCACGAGCCGTCATCCCCCACATCCCAAATTGGATTTGTTCTTTGCGAGTGGTCGATCAACCGGTACGTGACGGTCTCTCTGGCCAGCTGCTTTACTCGAACCTTAACACCTTAACGGTTCGTATTTTGCACAAATGCAGGACCCGGACGCCACGCCTCGCCCCACCTCCACAGACCTGGCTGGCTTCTGGGACATGCTGCAGCTGTCCGTGGAGGACGTGAGCACGCGGTTTCACGAGCTGCAGCAGCTCAAGGTGGCCGGATGGATTCAGGCCACGCCGCCGCCTCCTGCCGCCAAGGTGAGGATGGGTTGCACTGCCGTTGTCGTTATGAGCCCCCACACGATTCGCCTTCCCTGCTACCGACGTGAACTTCGCGAGCGAGCTTCGAAGTTTACGTCGGTTGCAGGGATCGATTTTCGTAGGTGAATTATGTGCCCGGTTGTACGTTTGCACCGTTAAACCCTTGGCGAGCAGAAATGATGTAAAAGGTGCTGCCCTGCAATTATTTGCGCGCGCTACTGCTTGTGGAAGAGCCTCCACTGTCGAGGAAGCTCGAGAGAGAACCCCCTGTCTAGAGAGCCCCCCCCCCCTCTCTCGGGTGACCTATTCTGTCATGCGAACCAGACAACGTCTTGCTCGAAGAGGTGGAAGTACCCATACGTTACCCCACCATTCCCGGCCTCCCGATCTACTGTCTGCTGATCCCATTCATACTGCCGAGTGGACAGAGGCATTAAGTATCAACTCCGATTGGGAAAATTTGAAAATAAGCTGAATAAAAAATATTTTCAAACTTGCATGCCGTTTCTTAACTACTTAGCTAATTTTACAAATGTATGTGATTAATGCATAACTTTGATAAAATATACCAAATTAATACTTGGCATATTAATTATTTTAAATTTAGATTTAAACAAATTTCTTTAGAACTGCTTTTTGTGTGTAGTTGGTTGTTCCTTTCCCCCGCACCTCCAATTATCACATGGTTGGCTACATATGGTGTGAAAGAAGTTATACTAGCCCCCCCCACCTCATATAACCATCCCCATAACCGCCTGTCCCCCTCCGCCCACACAACCCTAACATAGATCGTAATTGGCGCCACGGTGGCGATGTTAACTTCCTCGCCTGGTATACAAGAGGTTGTGGGTTCTATCCCGACCCCGACGATGCCTGTATATTTGGAGTTTGCGTGTTCTCCCCATGGTCGTATTGATGTTTCTTCGGTCCTCCAGTTTTTCCCTCCACATTTAGGAACGTGCGTTTTAAGACTTTGGCTGATTGAAATGTCCACACGATGAGCCACTTCGTGGCGCTATCATTTGTGATAGCCAGGTCGCTTCTGAAATAAAAGCTGTATAGCTCGTTTGGTCGTTACCTGGTAAAATAACATGAAAGTGTGGGATTTTAGTCTAATTATATCCGTTTTGTGGGCTGCACAGGAAGCGGGCCGCCAACTGGCGACGGCGGGGTCGGTGACGTCGCGCCGCGGAGGCCGCGCCCTCCGGGGCTCCCTGAGCCGCGACAAGTCGAGCAGCGAGTCGGCCGACAAGCAGCGCGCCGAGGAGGCACGCAAGCGGCTCATGGCGGCCAAGCGGGCTGCGGCCGGCCGCCAGAGCTCTGCCACGGAGAGCTCCGACAACATCGAGATCTACATTCCTGAGGCGCAGACGCGACTGTGAGGCGGCGGCGAGGCGGGGGAGGCCTTGCCCTCTCACGCCCGCCAGCCCCCGTCCACACCCACACCCATCTCCCCGTCATTGGCACAAACCCCAGGTTGGCACTGTGACTGGATCACAGCGAGGCAAAGCAACTGCAGAGAGCACCTTTTGAGCCCGACGTGTAGTTGTTATTTTCAAGTGGAGCTGCGATGTAGCCCCGTATTTTTGCAGCGAAGAAGTCGACAGTAAAAATGCAGAAATTGCCGCCTCGGGAGTTTCCCCAAGGCCCTTGGACTTGCAACCTCCTCCTACGCACCGTCGCTGCAACACAAGCCTGCATTCCGAATTGTAAAGAAGGCAGTCTGTTCAATTTGGATTCAGCATTCTACAATTCATTTGCGATGGAGATGTGATACTCCAGCAGATATATTTTAATTATTTGCCATTGGACATTTTAAATGAAACAACCCACTCAATGAAACAAAAAAAATCGTCTCGTCTTATATGAAACCAATAACATTTATACACAGTTCAGCATCGCCAAATTAGTAGCTTGCAACAGATGCTTTTTGGTCTGTGCAGAAGGTCTTTAAACGTGCGGATACCATGGATGAACATCAGAGAGACTAATTGAGTGAAAATTGGACTTTGAGCAAATGCACTTGTGCAAAAATGAGTGTACCACAGAAGTAGCCGATGTATGTTGTTTATTGCCTTCCTATACAGGTAAATATAAAGAACAATTTTGAATAAAACTACATTTTGACTTAAAATTTTCGTGACTGCAGGAATTAATATTCTTTGGTTCTTTCGGTAAAGTAACATAGATAGAAAAATCATGATAAGTGTACTGGCAATCTATAATGTAGACGGTAGTCTGGTTATTAAGTTTGGTGAGCGTACTGGCAGTCTATAATAGACTAGCCTACAGTCTACATTAGACTGCCAGTACACTCACCCAGCTTAATAACCGGGCTACAGTCGACATTAATACTATTTGGGTCTTTCGGTAAAGTCACGTAGATAGAAAAATAATAAAATACAAAATCACGACGTTTCCATCGCAACACAAGCAATCGTCTTCAGGTGACAAAAATACAGCGGGCAGACTGCTGAGGCAGGAAGAAAAATGTTCTCTATCTTCGTGGCTTCACCAAAAGACCCAAAGAGTTTGAATTCCTGCAGTCACGAAAAGCTTGAAGTCAGGAGTCTACATTAGTGTTTTTATTGTTATTTTATTTTTATTCACTTTATTATTATTTTTCTACGTGACTTTATCGAAAGAACCAAATAATTTGAATAAAACTAATTTAACATTCACGTGGGGATATTGTTATTTTTATTTAGTAAATTGGAGACCACACAACCAGGGGAGAGTGTCCATTGCCATGGTTGTAGCCTTGGTTGACCTGTGGATGCCCATGTTACACATTTTGCCTTATGAAGTTATTTTGTTCGGCTGTTCTATATTCCGGATTAATTTGAGCTTCATCATGGACCAGTACAAATGTGTAATGTGTTATATAAATGGCTCTGGGTGCAAAGTTTATACAATTCGGAGCAGCACTATGTGGAATACAACCACATTTGTAAACAATTGCCTCTAAAAAAAACTATTGTGAATTTGTTGGGAATCTTAGCTTTTGAGTCCTTTTTTGTCGTCGAGCATTATTGCACGAATATTTGTGCATCACGTCTAGAATGACACATTTTACTTCATGTACAACCTAACAGAGCCCAGGGAAGTCGCGATTTGATTCTGTGATGCCACCGTTAAAAAAAAAAACAATTGCAGCTTGTTCCTTAGTTGTTGGTGGCCAAAGTTATGCTTTGTAGTAACAACCCTTTAACCTATCCTTTTGAGAGGTTTAATTCCACAATCCCATGTGCAGAGCGTGGAATGGTTCCAATAGAATACCCGGTGCTGTTGTGTATCTGTTGAGGTGTGTGCTATATTAATTGGAGCACACCAGAATAATGCGGGGGGGGGGGTGTGAATAAAACCCACATGGCCAGAGCTTCATCGGCTCTGTCCAGTCATATGTTATCTAAATTCCTTGTGCGCACAGTTGGCAGGGTTGTGCACTGGCTCCGGTTCATCCATACAGGTCCCACCACGGATTTAATAATTGCAGGTGATGAGTTAAGAGTCCTAGGAGGGTGGAGATAATGTATTTTGTGCCAGTGGGTGCCGAGCTCACGCCAGACCTCTTCTCCCTCGTGGATACATGGATTTCTTTTGGCTATAAAATCTGAGATGGACCTCACCTGAATTGGAGTAATGGCACATATGACCGTTGGATATTTGAAGCACTCTTTAAGATTGTTTAATAATTTTAGTAAATTGCACGTGAGAGACTCCACATCAGATGATGTAGTCTATATTAGTTGAATACTGTGAATATTATTGATATTTGCCCAACTGCTTTGAGTTAGATAGCTGCATTCCTGCTTTTATAATGGTGGGCGATAGGCTTGGCTTAGTGAACATTAACACACAAATAAGCATAAATCAATGGGAATAAATAATGCATTACAACTTATTTGACCAAAACAGTGCTAAGTCACAAACTACTTCAAAGTGCATATACGATCCAACACTATCTTTTCTATACACTTGTGGCCATTATTTTCCATAAATCATCAAGCAAACTCCGGTCACTGCATCGCGCACTTTCAAATGTGCTTATACAGCTATTTGGAATGCTCTTCCTGGCAAGCCACTGGAGTCGTGCACTTTTAAATCCTCCAGATTCACAAACTCGTTTCTTTAAAACTGCTTCTTGTGTTTAGTTGTCCTGACCCCCACACCTCTGATTTAGCACGGTTGGCTACGTACTGTGTGAAAGAAGTTCAATATACATAGTACAAGTGTGTTGTATGCCACAACAACAACTTAGAACTCTTGTAAACTGTAAATACAGAACACTAATATGATAGTGCTCATGGGGGGTGTTTTTATTTTACAGTGGTTCAAATTGCAGCTATAATAGATTTCTAGAACAGTGCTTGATTTCCCCATTTACAATAGTTTTCCAGCAATGCTCCCGATTTCCTAATCTCAAATTAATAACTAATTTGTTTATTTAATCGTGCTAAACAGTCAAATGTTTTCCATATGTTATACTATTAATGATATCTGTATAGCTTCAGGTATTTATTTTGATATCAAAAATAGGCACAAATGGCCACTCCCTGTTGGGTTTGATGCAAAGGCAGCTGTTTGGAAGATGCCTTTTCCAGCTCGTGTTTATGTAGCAGCAGTTCTTCGTTACTTCCAACACCTTGTGATCGTGTTCGACGGCTATTTCTTTCTGTAAGAGTGTTTGCCTTTGTACTCTTATGAAGGTGTCTGAGATGCATAGTTAGCCAAGAAACCCATGGCCCATCACAGTTTGGCATTCATGTGCGAAACAGCCTTTTCCATTCATATGAGATTAACAGTGTACAATGACCAACTATTTGGGAACGTAAAATCTGGAGGTTGTGGCTGGCACTCTTCATTATTGGTACCTTTTATCCACAGTCATTTGGATAGCATAGCCGATTACAAACATATTCACCGAGTAATGTTTGGTATTTTATCATTCAACATTATAAATGTATACAGTACTGCAATATATAATTTAAAATTGCATCCATGCTAATATTCTGAAATGAGGATTTTGCAGTGTTGCTTGGTAAATATAGCACAATTATCAAGTGATTTATAATCCTAATATTACACACTAAATATATACGAGTAACAGCGTACGTTCCTGATAAAATTGAACAAAAATGTAACTGTTGCAGTTGTTTACATAATAATTATTTGTCAGAATAGTTTAATAATCACTTCGCTTAAGGCTTTATGCTCACCGTTGGGTGTAAAGTATGATGTGTTGCCACTTGCAGCTTCTCTTTGTAATTGTTTTTCTTGTCTTCTGACCTTTGCACAGTCAATTTTAAACGAGGGTATTTGTCACATCAGAGTGTCTTATACTGGTAAATAATATATGTATATATGTCTGTGTCAGTATGTATGTATATTCCTATATAATATACATATATAACTGGGTATTTAAATCAAAAATAGTGTAAATTAGGATGTACAAGTCACTTCAGTGGCATTGTTTGCAGTGCATAGTAGAATGACAGACTGAGACTTGTAGGGCCTATGTGCATTTGTGAATACAATTATACCTGCAATATTAATTGGTTTGTAATTGAATATATGAATCTGATTTACAAAGTAGATGCTCTTTATTTTTCCCGTGCAGCTTTGCAAGAAGCATGTTGTTGTCGCACTGCATGGAAGCTGAAGAAAATGAGTTTTGTCGGTGGCACAGATGGCAATGTTATCGGGTATCCCTTGACATGGTATAAAACAAAGCAATTAAGGGCTATTACACAACGTTTAAACCCTTATGTTTACCGACGTTAGCTCTTTGTATATGCGTTGTAACATTCTCAAGCCCCTACCTACACTTGTTCTGCTCAGTCGTTGTACTTTGTATCGTTACCATGGGTTTTGTCAGGACTAGTTCTCGGTATTTTGCTATTTTTTTTAGCTTAATTGTATTTCTTCTGGGTCCAAGGTAGGATTTGCCCTTAAAATTGTACTCCTTTGTCTTAAAACATTCTTTGCATTCTGATGACCGAAGAAGAGAGGCTGATCAAGTATAAGGAGGTTTGCAGCATACCCTTGTCCTGTGAGAAGAACTTACAGTGCAAGTTGCCTTCATAATAATCATACTTTGATACTTCCAGAATGAGGAAACGCTGACGGTGGTGTCCATTGCATCTGGTCGCGTGTATTTGTGCATTGCGAAAAAAATTGGTATGGACACAAAAAAGGATGCAACTCAAGTTTCGACAAGTGATTCACTATTTCCTTGCAGTGCTGTCATCTTGTGTTGATTGGGTGCCAAACAAGTGATTTGTATATTTTTGCCAACAATGGTTTGTTGGTTTGATTACGACCCAGGCCTATCCCACCAACCCCTCTTTATCAAATCCCTCTTTTGTGTTACTGTCATCAAAAGTACACCACTTAAAATAAGCCACTTCATTTCAATTATCGAGCTATGTACAATTTTACAATTGCTATAAACCGCCTTGGTTAAGGCGCTTTATCAATCTCATGTAAGATAAGATGGTACAGGTTAAGCCTCATTGATAGCTCCACCGGCGAGGGTGTATTGAGATGCTTCTCTCCATTGTCAAATCAAAGTCAATGATGTGTGTAATGACAACTATTATGCTGATGCCCCCACACGTGCATGAATTGAAACGGGGGGCTCCACGTGGAAGATTTAAGAGTAACACCTCGGTGAAAAACCCTGTTAAGTGAAATTGTCGGTCAGAATAGGTTTCCTAACATTCTGTAAGTATCGACAGCCATGTGACATTAGCTTCTGTCAACTGACGCTTGATTCGTATGTAAACATTGGGTGTATTACTATTCGTCATTGCAGTCAATGTACAGTACATGTTCAAAACGAGGAAATTAACAGCAGAGGAATACATGAAAAAGTCAAGCCCAAGGGTGTGTGAAGAGAGGTCTGGACTGGTGCAGTGTTTGTAGCTTCGGCTCAGCATTAGTCTTTATCTAAACAAAGTTGCATGGGAGAACCTTTTTAAAATCACTTATGGACATTATTCATGGGTAAACAATACAAATTAAAAATGTTTCAGTGTACCAAAACAATAACGACCTTAAATGTTTGCAAGGTCATTTAAATCTTCACGTAACTTGAAAATTCTAACCACTTTTGATAACATCAAGTTTCTACAGTTTTGAAAACTTATACTCTACATTTCCCCCCCCTTCCCCCGTATGCACTATCATAAATACAACTTTTAACAGATTGCTTACATAATTAATGATCTTTTAAGTATTTTGTAAACAATTATAACCAAAGTTTTCCCTTTACTCTCACATCTGGAATCCCCGCGCTAAGAAAATACAAATAAAACTTGCAGAGTACTAATTCCCACCCAGCAACAACTTGCAGGTCTTTATTTCAGGAAATTTTTGACAAAAATCACAACATTCGTGACATAAATTATCGTTGTGAATGGTATAACAATAATATAGTGTTTACCTACATTGAAGAATGTAATCCAGTTATTTATTAAGAACATAATTGTATCAAGCCATGTATAAAGTAATGCTTTATTTTAAGTCTCATTACAGAATCACAATGTGTAATGTATGGATGCTGTTTAGATAAAAAATAAAGTGATATACAATACACACAAAAAATTGCAATGTCTTCAATGTAGTTTGAAAAATTTTCGCTCACGGCACTAAATTTTCGGTTCCAAAATCCCAAA